CAGAAACAGTGCAGCAATTTTTTAGTAAAGGGAGTACTAGATTAAAGTCATTATTAGATGATTCAGCAATGGAATTACATTCTCTTGAGTCAATAAAATTTGATGGTGTAGCGTTGACTCTCTCACTTTCTCTAAATTTTATGGAAAAACTTAATTTAAATTTTACCGAGTTGTTAAAACTTCAAACAGAGAATTTAGCCAGCAAGCACAAAGCAGTGGTTGGTAGTACTAATTCCATATTGGGCCTGATACTGGCAGAAATAAAAAAAAACGATAAGTTGGGTAACGCAACGGTTTCCCTATTATGCGCCATCACCTTCATCGACATTCGATTTATCACGAAGGGGGTTATAAAATCAATTGCCAGCGTTCAAAAAAAACGAATCTTGAGAGAGATAACAAAGGAAAACATTTTAAAAGAAATGGAGCTTGAGAAGACTCTAGAAAACAAAAATAAAAGGATGGAAAAAATTTTTTACCAAAAAAAAGATGACCCAAAAGTGGACCAAAAAGATATTAAAACAGTTGACCAAACTTCGGAATTTTGCTTCAATAAAATTTTTGACCAGATTTTATATTTTAATTTACTGGAGTTAAAAATTAAAACTAAAAATTTGATAACCTCTGAAAAAGGTACAGATCTCTGCCAGGATACTTTTGAAATGAGTAAAGTTTGTCAGCAATATTTTAAAAATGTGAACTTAGAAAAAAGATTTGTAATTCTAGAAGAAGTTATCTTAGCAATGGTGCAAAACTTTCCGGAAATGAAAGACGATTACACAGATGAAGATTTAAAATATGGGGCCTCAAAAATCACACACATAAATTCAGTAGCAACAAGTTTTTTTGACATGTATAAAATATCTAAAAACAATATGGATACAAGTTACATTTTAGAAATCTTTAATAGAGTGACATATTTTTCCCGATATTTTAAACTTGAGTTTACTTTAAAGAATGTTTTACAGCAACAATTAATTTTGCAAAAACTAATTCAGGGTGATGATAAAGAAACTTTGGAAATTATATATGTTCTCTCAGAACTTGGAAAGGTTTGCTACGGTTTGACAGAGTTTGAAAATTCTCTAAATTATTATGAGGATGCATTGAAGTTCACAAAAAATTTAATTGGTACCAGGGAACACGAAAGTGTGAGCGATCTATTGGATAATCTGGCCGAGATTTACTCCTGCATTGGAAATAATCAGAGTGCCATAGATTATTATCAGGAATCATTAGATATAAAATTGAAGGTTTATAGCGAAAACGAAGAAAAAGTCTGCGTTGCTTATAAAAACCTTGCTGAAGCGTATTTTAGAGCAGGAGAAAATGAAAAATGCACTGGTTTGTACAAAAAGTCGCTAGAAATTCAAATAAAGATACATGGAGGACAAGAAAACACTGCAGTTGCTACAGAACTTGAAACAATTGCAAGTTCTTATGAAGCTCAAAAAGATTTTGAAATGGCAAAAAAATATTTAAAGAAATCAGTGGAAATAAAACTTGCAGTTTTGGGGACCAGAATTCATCCATCAGTGGCAAAGAGTCTAAACAGTCTTGGAATGATAGCAAATTCTCAACAACGTTATAAAAAGGCGTTATGGTACTGTGAAGAAGCGTTAAATATTTATCTGGGAACTAATGAAGATCGTCAAACTTCTAATGTTGCAAGAGTTTTGAACAATCTTGGAATAATTTTACATGCTACTGGAGAATATGATATGGCCATTGAAAATTTTGAAGAATCTATTGAAATTAAAGAAAAAATTTATGGGACCAGGGTTCACCCCGATATTTCAAATACATTACACAATTTCGGAGATTCTTGTCGACAACTCGGCGATTATACGAAAGCTGCCATTTGCTACCAGGAGGCATTAGAAACTCTAGTGAAGATAAATGGGGGCTGGGAAACGAATGAGATTGCAATTCTTTTAAATAACCTTGGTCTTGTTGCTAAATTGGAAGGAAATTTAAGTAAAGCAGAAGATCTATATGAAGAATCAATGCAAATTAAACTAAGAGTGTTTAAAACAAGGGAAAACCTGTCGATTGCTACATCCCTGAATAATCTGGCGGAGTTGGCAAAATCTAGGAGTGATTTTAAGTTGGCGGATAAATATTATTCTCAGTCTTTAGAGATTAAAGAAAAAATTTTTTTTGACGACAAGGACAATAATCCAGAAATCTGTACAAATTTAATAAAGATTGGTGGTGTTAAGGAAAATTTAAAGCAATTTAAAGAAGCACTAGACTTTTACAAAAAAGCTTATGACATAAATCTTACAGTACCTGGGGCTAAAAAAAGTATGCAAATGCGCAACTTGTTAATGAAGATGGGAAGAGTAACGAATGCGCTAAAAAGCTACTCTTCATCTTTAGAATACTATCAACAGGCTCACACCATTAGTGTTTCTCTTTCTGATCAAGGTGATCAAGATTATGAAATTGCAGAAATTCTTAAATGCATGGGGAGTAACTCTGCGTTATTAAATGATTTAAAAAATAGTAAAGCTTTTTACACTCAAGCTTTAGAAAAAATGAATATATTATTTGGTGGAGAAAAAAAGAACATGCCCACCTTGGAGGTAATGGTAATACTTGGAAATATTTGCCAACAGGATAAGGATTATATAGCCGCAAGAGAATTTTACAAAACTTCTTTAGACATTGCGACAATTCTTTACGAATCTAATACTCACGAAAGATTAATTTCTCTTTTAAAAGATTTAAGTAATACTGAAAAATTAGTGGGAAGTGAAGAATGTTACCTAAAGCATATGGAGCAGTTATTAGAAGCTCAAGTTAACAAGTATAATACCAGAGAGGAGGTGGAAGTTATGGAAACTTTACTTAATCTGGGCTGTATTTATTTTAAACAAGAGAAGTTTATTGACGCAATTAACTGTCATTTGGAAGTGTTTGATTTTTACAAAAGCAACTTAAAAAATCAAAAAATCAAAGAAATATTTGAAGCGGCAATAGAAATATTAAAAAAGGAAGTAGAGGTTACCGAAAGTTTTACCATCAAAAAACTTGAATTGGATAGCGTGGAAAATATTCATCTTGAAATAAATGATAAATTTTGGAGAGGAAAAAGTTTAATGGAGCTAGTGTTGAAAGTAAAAGAAAAATTGTATGAAACTAGGACTCACCAAGAAATTGGATTAACATTGATAAATTTGGGAAGAATTGCAAGTAATGAAGGACAAACTGATTTATCTTTTTCCTATTTTGAAGAAGCTATTAAAATTTTAGAGCAAACCATGCGAACAAGGAGGCATCCAGCAATTTCATCTGCTCTACTTTGTTTAGGAGAATTGTACTTTACAATTAAGGATTTCGAAAAATCATCTTTACATTTAGGGGAATCTTATGATATAGCAGTTTTTGTTCTCGGAGAAACGGATCCATTAACAAAGCAAATTGCAAAACTACTTTTAAAGGTTGCTGAAGTATACGAAAAACTCGGTGTCACAGCCGTAGAACATAAAAATTATTCCGAAGCTGAAAATTTTTTAGAAAACTGTATTAAGATCTATAAAAAAGTTTTGAAAAGTTTAGAATTTGAAAACGGAGGAATATTGTTGATAAAAATGGCAGAGGTTTCAAAATGTTGCAAGGATTATAAAAAAGCAATACTAAATTATTTAGAGGGTTTGAGAATACTGAAATTGTTAAAAAAAGATGTGGAAGATGAATTTAATGCCAAGACACTTTTTGATTTGGCAGATTGTTTTAAGTCGATCTTGGATAATTTTTCAGCAATAAAATATTTTGAGGAAGCCTGGGATTTACGAAAAAAGATAAACACCAGTCCTAATAATGTAGATATGTTAAATTTGATAAAAAAAATAGACGAAATAGCGAGAGACTTTGAGTCGCAGGGAGATAAGGAATTTAGCAGCAACGATTACATAACTGCAATAAAGTTTTATCAGGATTCTCTTGCTGCTTTTAAAAAAATTGATTCAAAAAGAGATATTGCGGTATTACAAACTGATTTAGGAAAAGTTTTTCTTGGTCAACATGAATATGAACTTGCAGCGGCTTGTCTAAAAGAAGCAATAGATATATATACCAAGATTAATGGAGGTAGAAAAAATTTTGAGGTTGCAAAAGTGTTAGTTTACTATGGAAAAAGTGTTGATAATAAATGTGAAGTTGAAGAAACCATTCTCCTATTTGAAGAAGCGATGGACATCTTTATTCAGCTTGACCCATCTAGGTCCAATGAGGAAGTAGAGGTTGTTTCAAAAAATTTAATTAAAGCTGTATCTCAGTTAAGTAAACGGGGAGAAGCTTTAGAAGCAAATGGAAATTTTGATGAAAGTCACCAAGTTTACAAACGATGTCTAAACTTGCTACTGAAAGCAAGTGGAAATAAGGAAACAAAAGAATATGTGGATGCATTAAAAAAAATTTCAATATTTTTATTTAATCAAAACAACTTTGAGTTAAGCTTGCAGAAATTCGAAGAATTGCTTGAAATTCAAATAAAACTTGAAAGCTTGAAAAAAGTTTCAGTAGCAGATATTGAAGAAATTCGGAGTTACATTGCTAGATGTAAAAAAGAATTGAGCAACTTAAATTCACTTTTTTCTTGTTGCTTAGCAAAAAAGAAACCTTCTAAAATATACCCTGAGTAAATGAAAAAAAAAATTGTAGATAATAAATTGATATTAATTTTAACAATAAATAATTAACTATATGTATATTTGATTTAGTTTGAGTTACTTAATATTTTTATCAATAAATCAAAACCCTTGATTAAAGAAATAATAAATACCAGTTCTTATGTAATTCCTTGCAATAAATACGAAAAGATAGTTTGGAATCAGCAATTATTCTTCTTAGATACTTACATCTAACAATGTGCTAATTTTGATGGATGAGTGAGTGGAGTTTCTAATGCAAAAAGCTGTAACTTTCCTTGATTTAACAGATATCAATCAAAAAACTTACATAATATAGTTTATTCAATAATCAACTTACCAAAAGCTGATATGGGCAAGTGGTTATGCCGTTGGTTTCTGATGCCAAACGTCGCCAGTTCGATCCTGGCTATCAGCTCGGAGTTTTAATTTCTCCTCCATTGTTTTGGGAAACAAGTTTTTTTGGCAATTTTAATCATTCGTAGAATATCTTCGTAATTTACATCAAATTACAGTTGCATAAGCGTATATCAATTATTCAAATCCGGGTTCATTCCCTTCCTAGTTTTTTGTTGCATGGAACAGATCTTTTCTTTTTTCAATTGCATACTCTTCAGAGGAGTTGCAATTACGTATATGATTCAATTGATTCTTTGTGAAAGTTTTGTTTTTTTAAAGTAACAGATTCTAATTTATAAGACTGTATTATGAGAAAGTTTGTTTCCTGTTTTAGTGCTTTACACATTGTGGCTGTGTGGAATTGATACAAGAAAAATTTCTACCAACAAAAAAATTCAAAAATTTAAAAAAAATAAAATGAAATAAAAAAAGCAGTAATTAAGAAAATATGTATATCTATTATCAATAAAATTTTATGATGGAATTATTAAAAGTATAAAAAAACTAAGAAAAAAAAGTTATGATGATTCGTATAAAAGATAAAAAAAAAAATGGATTAGTAAAAGTCCATTAACTCATTTTTTTCTTCTTTTTTTTTTTTAATTTATTGTTTCATCAGAAACAGTGTCTGCATTGTTGACATTAGTATTTTCCTCTGAAATAAATTTAACTAAATTTTCATTATCATACTGATTAAACTCGTTGTCATATCCTTCTTCAATAAAACTAAATCTGTGAGTTAGAGTATTCTCTCCATCCGTTTTCTCATTAAACAAAAACCTTTTTTCAAATTCATTTAAAAAGTTTTTTCTCTTTTCAAAAAACGTTAGAATCTTTAAACAGATGTAGATGTGAATTGAACTGAAGGAACAAGCCAGACTTTTATATTCTATCGTTTTTTGAAAGGTGAATCTTGACAGGAAAAAAAACCAAATGAGTATAATGTCGATTATAAATAATATGAAAAAGCTTGAAAAAACTTTTATTTTAAAGATTTTTTTTTTATCCAATTTTGATATACTCCAATTAAAATTAGTTTCACTTTTTTCATTTTTTTTTGTTGAAAAGTTCGCTTCGCCTGTACTATTAGAATTTTCTTCAATATCTTCTAATTTGTTGTTGTGAATATTAAGAAAACTTAAAACTTTTTTTTCTTTTTTTATAATCAAATTTAAACTTAATGTGCAAAATAAAATGTCCATCAAACAGATGAAGGAATTAAAAACCAAAATAGATATTGAATTCCAATTGAATTGTATAATTAAATTTTCATTTAAACAAGCCAAATAGGTTACAAAAACTGAAATTAAAAATAAAGTAATGTTGAAAAATATGAAAAAAAGATTGAAATAAAGTTGATTTTTAAAATTTAATAAGCTCTTTAATCTTTGCAAGGAAGCTGTTGTTATAAAAAACATTCCAAAATAATGCAAACTTATGTGTAATATTTTAAAAACAAATTGATGTTGTGAGGTACTATAGTCGCTTGTGTTAAAGTCGGTTAGGAAATAATCAAAGGTTTGTTCAAAAAGTAAAAATAATTGGCCAAAAAACATGGAGTTAACAATCAAGACAGGAATAATGGAAAGTTTGTTAAATTTGAATGCAGGTAAATTCTTGAAATTTCTTATCCACTGGAATGTAAAATCTAGAGATAAGAGCAAGGCTAGGATATTGAAAGATATTGAAACAATCCGAAGAGTATACATTTTTATTTTTTTTTTTTTTGTTTAAAAAAAAAAAAAAAATAAGTAGCACTCCTTTTATCTTTATGTGGTGGGTGCAACTTTGAGACCAAATTTTTTCACCATTTTCAGTTGAAATTGTTGTACCCAGCTTAATTACATTGATGAAGTCTTTTTCTGTGGAAAATATTTTTAGAGATTACTCTTCTATTCAATTATATATATTAATAAGGATCGGAAAAAGCTAAAGTCTGAGCCAAAATGGGTGAAGCAGAAATGTTAAGAAGTCTCTCCATTAACCCATAACTACAAAATTTTCAAACCTTTAATGATTAAACTATGATTATGCAAAGTAAAAATGATCTAAGGGTTATCATAATAATCGGACAGAGAAATCAGTAGTATTCATATTCATAATATTTTTATAATCGTTTAATTTTTATATTTCTTATATTTTGTACTTTTTGAGTATTTTTTTTTGTGCTGTTGCAGGAAAAAATTTTTTGTTATATTAAAAAGCATTTAAACTCCTGTTTGGACTAGTATATTTACAGGCTAGTAAGCAATTATCTGCAATTAATAGGGGTTTGTACTTAAATTATACTTTGGCCAGTATTGAAATATATTAATAACTGAATTCTTATATTATACCGTAAATGAATTGGATTTGTTTTAAATGAAGTTTGAACTAAAGTATGAAAATTTGTATTTATAATCAAACTTTTGTAGTATTTTATACAGTAATTAATATTTTCACAATTTATTCTTATTATTATAAAAAAGTAATACTTATACTTTGTGCTAATGTTCTAATTCAAGCAATCCTCTTTTCATTTATAGCTGTGAGACCTTCAAATACTACTTATATAAAAATAATTATCTACTATTATACTATTATGATACTATTATACGAGCAGACTTATCATGCTTCTCTAAGATCAAGTGCATTCCAAATATTGAAGGTTAATTGTTTACAATTGTTACTCCGAGACAGTATATAGTGATGTTCAAAATCTCACTTTAAATTTAAATTTACAAGTTAAAAACAAATATAAAAGCTATATCAATAATGAAATTTATTCAACAAGTTATTATCCTTTCTTCCTTAAGTGCTGCTTATATTTCCAATCCGCTGACTACTGCTGATAACCAATTGGTGAAACGTGATTGTCCAAACACAGATATATCATGCGTTAGGGGCCATCGATTCATCAGTTATGTATCCGCGGGACAATGCTGGAATTGGTGGAATTTTAAATGTGACGTTTGTGATTTGGCAAGTGTAGGTGCAGCTTGCAATGATGAAAATCCTGATTGTGAAGGGGAATGCTTTACCGTTGGACCATGCAACTGCGGTTTTATGGTAATTTTATGACTATAAGAATTATACTTAAAAAATTTTTTTCTTGAAAATATCATTTTAGTTTTCAGGAACTAAATGCAGACCTGAAGGTGTTATGGGGGCTTGTTAAAAAAAGCTTTCATTTAATTTTATTCCAAAATATCAGTTCCTTTTCTTAGATTAGTAATACATTTTTAAATTAGTTTAAGATATTCATTTATAGAAAAAAATATTGTTTTCTCTACTTTGTTTAGTATTAAAAATAAAAAAATCAACTTTTATTTTACAAAAATTAAATTAATTTGATATTATGGTATACGAGCAATTGTAAAAATTAAATACTTCTGGGATTTAAAAAATATTTCAGTCAGAATTCAGCAGTTACTAACTAAAACTCTATTAAACTTTGTGGGTCAAAAAAAACTGTAGTTAATATGAAAATAAATTTGTAATGGATTAATAACAGTTATAAAAAAGACGATTCAAGTGTAATTTTTTGTAAATTATATGCAATGATCTCTAGTTTTGAAGATTTGGTGACTAAAAGAAACCATCAACATTAAGAATTTTTGGTTTTTTTAACTAAGTTAAATTTGAGATAAAATAAAGAGATTGAGAGAAAACCTTTCTATTTTCTTTAACATTTATACCACTTAAGCTTGCCCTGATTCTCCTAATATCAATTTCAATTCTAAAATTTTCAAGGTTTGTTGTTTACAATTGTTACTCCGAGAAAGTATATAATGTCGTTCAAAATATCATTTTATTCATATTTAAAGCTAAACAAAGCTAAAAGTTATATTGTAATTATGAAATTTATTCAACAAGTTATTATCCTTGCTTCTTTAAGTGCTGCTTATATTTCCAATCCACTGACTACTGATAACCAATTGGTGAAACGTGATTGTCCAAATACAGATATAGCATGCGTTAAAGGCCATCAATTCATCAGCTTTGTATCCACAGGACAATGTTGGAGTTGGTTGAATTTTAAATGTAATGTTTGCGATTTGGCAAGTGCAGGTGCAGCGTGCAACAATGAAAATCCTGAATGTGAAGGGAGATGCTTTACCGTTGGACCATGCAACTGCGGTTTTATGGTAATTTTATGACTATAAGAATTATAGTTTAATATTTTTTTCTTGAAATATCATTTTAGTTTTCAGGAACTCAATGCAGACCTGAAGGTGTTATGGGAGCTTGTTAATAAAAGCTTTCATTAAATTTTATTTAAAAATATCAGTTCCTTAACTTAGATTAGTAATTTATTTTAACATGATCAATTCATTAGTTTAAAAATAGTCATTTTTAGAATAAAAATCTTGGTTTTCTCCATATTTGTTTAAGGTTTAAAAATTAACTTTTTTTTTACAGAAAGTATATTTATTTATTTGAATAATATGGTATACAAGCAGTTGTAGAAATTAAAAAATACTATTGGGATTTAAAAAAATATTTCAGTTCAGAATCTTCAGTAAAACATGATTTAGCATGTTCACTGGCTCTACATATTTTAGTTTAACTATCCAACATATCTCTATGGCAAACCATTAAAAATCCAAAACACCTTATTGTGCACAAGGCCATACAATCTTTTGAAAGTATTGAATTTAGCTTCTCCAAATATCAAATAGCACAGACTTAATTTCAGCTTCTGTTAGAGTAGTTTACTAAAACTCTCATCAATTTTAGATCTTATAGGTTTTCCCATATTCTGTAACCTCTTCATGGTATACAAACTTTAACTTTGATTAAATTATTCCCAGTAATAGTTTTGTGTTGTTCTGTAAGATGATTTGTTAAATATTTTTCATTTTGTTTTAGAGTTGTAAATCATTTTTCTAATTTTGATGCATTTAAACAATCTTTTTACTGTGATCTATTGTACTTTGATCTAATACTAAATCTAATAGATCACAAAAATCCAACGATCACAAAAATCACAAAATGCCGTTTTCAAAAAAGTGGAAGAATTTTACCATTTTTTAACGA